CAATAGAGAGGTATACCGGGTTTACGCCGACCCAGGAAGCGGTGTGAATGTAATGTATTAGGATTGCTTTCAGAAGCTGGGGATCGACAAGTCGCAACTGCAACCGTGTGCCATTCCCCTGATGGGCTTCTCCAACCACGTCATCGTTCCCTAACGCTTAGTGTCATCGTTGGAGAATACCCCCCATGCAATACAGAACTTTGCGATTTCGCCATGGCGACGTAGTCGCGCCTTTCAACATCCTGATGGGAAGACCTTTGATGAACCAGGTTAAGGCCATCTTCTCATCTTATCATCTGGTCATGAAGTTTTCCACGGTTCACAGAATCGCCGAGGTAAGGGGCGATCACCAGCTGGCCCGGTAGTGCATGTTGGGCACAACCAAGAAGGGGAAGCAGGCGCTTATCAGTGCGAACGTTAACCAAGTGCTTCTGCCAAACATCGACAACTCAACCGCAACACCATGCCTGGGAGTCGCGATCGCTGGCCAAGGCATGGAAGCAACAGACCCGTGAGAACCTGATGATCAAGCTGATAAAATTGCTAGGGACACTGAAGAGGTTTCCCAGAACCCCTACATGCCCGACAGGGTTGTTTTGATCGGAACAGGTTTACCCCCTAGTATCAAGGACATCGTGGTGGATCTCCTAAAGTAGTTTCAAGAGGTCTTTGCCTGGGTGGCGACCGACATGACGGGAATCCCTCCTCGCTTTGGGATGCACAAACTCAACGTGTTCCCCAACGCGGTCCCGATCAAGCAACGCTAGTGATGCCAATCAGAGTAGCACCCTCCTCGCTTTGGGATGCACAAACTCAACGTGTTCCCCAACGCGGTCCTGATCAAGCAACGCTAGTGATGCCAATCAGAGTAGCACAGCGCAGCAATCAAGGCGGAGGTCACGAAGCTCCTGGCCGCACAGATTATCAGGAAAGTCCTTTACCCATTGTGGATAGCTAATCCTATCATAGTCCAAAAGATTGACTGGACGTGGCACATGTGAATCGAGTACAAGGACTTAAACAAGCACTGCCCAAAGGATTGTTATCCGTTGCCCATCATCGACCAAAAGGTAGATGCCATCTCCCGTTTTTAGGTTCTTTGTTTTCCGGATGCGTACAAGGGGTACCACAAGATCTTGATGGATGAAGGCGATGCAGAAAAGACCGCTTTCATAACTGACGTGGGCACCTATTGTTACATTAAGATGCCATTTAGCCTAAAAAATGCGGGCGCAACGTATCAACGGATGGTCAACAAACTATTAGACCACCAAATCGGTCGCAATGTGGAGGTGTACGTCGATGGCATAGTGGTCAAGAGCCACAGTCTAGAGGCCATGCTGGAGGACCTAGAAGAAACTTACAAGACCTTGAGACAGGTGAAAACATGAAGCTCAACCCCAAGAAATGCATCTTCGGGGTCGCATCTGGCAAATTTCTAGGGTTCCAAGTATCCAGCAGGGGAATCGATATGGATCCCACCAAGGTGGCTGCCATAATGGACCTTCAAGGATGTCCAAAAGCTCGCGGGCCTCCTTGCCGCAGTCAGCCGTTTCCGCTCGACATCGGCAGAGCGTTGCCTACCCTTCTTTGCCGTACTTAGGAAGGCTGATAAATTCGCATGGGGAGACAATTGCTGCAAGGCGTTCGCAGAACTAAAGGAGCATCTGTCGCAACTCCCGACGTTTGCGACCCCAAAATGCGGAGAACCACTCCCAGTCTACCTCTCAGCCAAGCAATACAGCATTAGCGCAGTCTTAGTCCAGGAAAGTGGCAGTTGCCAGACACCTGTGTACTTTGTCAGTAGGGTGCTCCAAGGGGCAGAGACTCACTACACTGGCATCAAAAAATTGGTACTATGCCTTGTCATGGCGGCCCGTAAGTTGCGGCCTTACTTTCAGGCACACACCATTAGAGTGGTGACCGACCAACCCAACCAGCAGGTATTGTGCAAGCTAGAAACATCGAGTTCGCATGACTAAGTGGGCGATCAAATTGGGGGAACATGAGATCGAGTTTGTCCTCTGTCGCGCGATAAAGTCCCAAGCCCTAGCGGACTTTCTTGCAGAAATGCCAACGAGAACAACGCCCCCTCTTGAACCCCCCCTCCCCAAATGCAGGACCCTATACCACCGGCATAGACCACACCCATTGACGTATGGACGTTATTCGTGGATGGATCTTCTGTAGACACCAGAGCAGGCGCGGGCCTCATTTTGGTTGACCCGCAAGGGGCGGAGCACACATACGCATTGCGACTCGATTTCCCGGCAACAAACAACACGGCGAAATACGAAGCCTTAATTGAGGGACTGAGGATGGCACAGCAGCTGCGCGCCGAAGGAATCAGGGCCTTCAGCGATTCTATTGTGGTCGTTAACCAAATAGGCAGAGATTACACAACCCGGGGACCATCTCCATCAAGTCGTGCACCATCTCCTACGTGCGCTGACCACTGAACAAAAGGGCGGACGTGTTGAGCAAGCTCGCATCCTCTGCCTTCGCGCACCTAACCCCGAAGGTCCTTGTAGAAGTACTCCCGCACCCCAGCATGGAAGTCGCTGCGGTCAACCAGATAGATGCGACTTTGGAGCCTGACTCCTGGATGACACCGATCGCGAAATACCTGACAGACGGGACGCTACTTGAAGACAAGGTACAGGCACGACACATCCGTCGCCAAGCGCCCCAGTTTCTATTGAAGGATGGCGTCCTCTACAAGCAAGGGTACGTGGCCATAGTTGCGATGTGTGAATCCAGAAGAAGTGAAGCTATTGATCCAAAGTGTCCACGAAGGTGCCTGTGCTTTTCACATCGGTTCGCGGAACCTGGCAAAGAAGATTCTGCGAACAGGCTACTTTTCCCCAACCTTAGCTCAGGATTGCTTCGATTATGTGCTTAAATGCCACAATTGCTAGCGCTTTGCTCCAATCGTACAACTCCCCCAACATAACCTGGTATCCATCTTTAGTCCCTGGCCGTTTCATAAATGGGGGACCGATATAATCGGCCCCTTCAAGAAAGGAATGGGGCAAGCAAAGTGGCTCCTTGTCGCAGTTGATTACTTCACCAAATGGGTAGAAGCCGAACCCATAGCATTGCAGACTGGCGCTGTTAGTCGCAAAGTTTTTCTGGAAGAAAATTGTTTGCAGGTTTGGCATTCCTCACACTATAGTTTCAGATAACGATACCCAATTTGAGGCTGGCGTGTTCAAGAGATGGTGCGAGGAATTTGGAATCGAAAGGAAGTTCGCCTCTGTCACGCACTCACAAGCAAACTGTCGCGCTAAAAACGTCATTTGCACAATCATGCAGGGCATATGCCGGAGACTTGAGCCCCTGAAAGAAAAATGGGTGGAAGCGATCCCGCATGTTCTGTGGCGCAGCGCACAACACCCCGAAAAGCAACAACCGAACCCTTTTCTCTTTGTTTTATGGGGGAAAGCGGTAATACCAGCGGAGATCGAGGTACCGTCCTACCGCACCTTAAACTTCAATGAGGAAGACGATGAACAGCGCAAGGGTTCTCTGGACCTAGTACAAGAAGTCCGGGACGCCGCATACATCCATGGAAGCGATCCCGCATGTTCTGTGGCGCAGCGCACAACATCCCGAAAAGCAACCAACCGAACCCTTTTCTCTTTGTTTTATGGGGGAAAGCGGTAATACCAGCGAAGATCGAGGTACCGTCCTACCACACCTTAAACTTCAATGAGGAACACGATGAACAGCGCAAGGGTTCTTTGGACCTAGTACAAGAAGTCCGGGACGCCGCATACATCCATGATGCGCGATACAAGCAGCAAGTCGTCAAACTCTACAACAGTAAGGTGCGGGCAAGAGAGTTCGTGGTGAGCGATTTATTTATCCGCAGGAACGATGTGAGTCATGCTGAACCTGAAGGCAAGTTGTCCCCCAACTGGGAAGGGCCCTATCGCGTCATAGCTATCTCTCCGTCGGGGGCTTACAGACTCCAAACCTGTGAAGAGGAGCTGCGCACAGTCGCACGATGGTGGAACGTTCAACACCTCAGAAAATACCACTACTAAGGTCACATGTGCCGCCACCCGGCCACTTATCTTTTTGCCTTTTTATTTATGTTTGCTTTAAACTACTCACGTCCCGTCTATGATGTGATCACCTGTAAGATAAACCTGTTTAACCAAGTATCTCTTGATTGCATACTTCTGTCAAATGTACTTGTGCTTATTTGTAACAGCAAACGATCAAACTGTACAGCACGATCAACGCAGTCACAAAACCAAGAGCGATCTCTTCGCAATCCCCCATTTGACCCAACCCAGACATAGGAGGCTGGTCCGTCAAAATCGTCGCGCCACGTTCTGCCGCCTGGATGCGGGCGACGTGACCACAAAACCGAGAGCGATCTCTTCGCGATCCCCCATCTGACCCAACCCAGACATGGGAGGCCGTCCAGTCGAAACTGTGGCATCCCGCAACGTTCCGTCGCTTGGATGCGGACGACGTGATCACAAAATTGGGATCAAACTCCACGCGATCCCCGTCCGACCCAACCCAAACATGGGAGGCTGGTCAGTCGAAACCAAGGCATCGCGCCACATTCTGTTGCCCGGATGCGGGTGACGCGACCACAAAACTGGGGGCGATCAATCAAAACTGTCGCCCCCCTAATTCGTTAACCAAATTATGAAGTGCAATCAATGTGCTCATTAGCAAAGCATGGGCAAACTTCATTACCAAAAGAAAAAAAAACAAAACAGAGAGGAAGTACACTGTCCGATCATGCTAAGCGATCGTGTCTATGCATTATCGCGAGGGGAAACCTCTAGGATGGGACCCTGTGTGATCAGCACCGATTCCATGTGTGATCGTGGGAGAGATGCTTCAACACTAGTTGGGATAAACTGGCATTTCTTTCGCGGCACCAATTTCTTCAACTCCTGGATGGTCTCTTCGAGCTCGTCGATGCGACCGTCCTGCTGATCCCAAATTTCGATGAAGTCGCGGAGATATTTTTTTCACAAGTATTCATTCTTCCAGTAATCAGACTGGCAACGTCTGAGCACCGACCCCAGGGCTTGGAACTCGATCGCATACATGGATCGCACCAACTCTCTCAGCTGCCTTTCCTTCCCTTCCCTGTCCTGCTCTCCTGCACACGGTGCATCAAGAAGGCATGAAACTATGCAGTGGTAGTACAAGGACTCGCCTGTCTTGACATTGGGATCAAGAATCTTCATGCCCACCAGACCGCCTTTAGCCACCCTGGTCGCAACAGGATTCCCTGCGGAAGCGACTCCTCCAACAGCTGGCGTTGCACCTGTCACAGTAAGAACATTATCGGGTGCCACGCCAGAAATGGATGGGCCACTATTATTTACTACCTCAAAGAAAGCCTCTCCAGGGCGACTACCCTCCTACACAATAAAGGGGGTATAGGTCAAACCTACGTCCTGAAGTGCACAGAAACAAGAAAGAGAAGCCCAAACGGAGAAAACAGTGGTGGGACACGCCCAACACTCAGACATCAACATAAAGGGAAACCGTCAATGACACAAACAAAACAAATTCATTGCAAGACAACACTGGTGCCAGACAAACATAAAATATCCATCGATGCCGGCCACATCGGCCGGAAACCACCAGAATCCATAAATTCACAATGGCAAAAGAAGTAGAGAAAATGTCTTTCAGCCGGATATGGAAGCGGGAAAACTAACCTATACCTCTCCACCGCCTTGGGGGTGCGTCTCGCCACCTCCCAAGGGGGGGAAGGTTGTTTTTTCCACCATTAGGGGAGGATTGCTTGTGCCCGCGCCATCATCACCTCCTCCAGACGAACCTTCTTCATCGCTAGAACGGCTCAGCGACAGAGGGGGAGTTGCGATCCCGGCCGTTGTATCGAATAGAGGAGTAGGGTCGCATGCAAGGTGCAAGATAACTTGAGGGGACTCCTGGGTCGCGCAGAGTTTCCTGATCTCCTGCATCATAGGGAAGGAGTCGACATCCACATCGCGAATGTGTGTGCGTGCGTTCCTGGCAACCTTAGCCATCTGCACATCCTTCACGGAATAGTCATCCCACTAAGAAGCGATCCTTTCCCCCACCCAATAGGAGTCATCGCCACCAGAGTCATAGTGGTCATGGATTTCCGCCAACACATCGTGAGCTCCGACTCTGCACATGGACCCAAAAACGCAACCCACCCCTTCCATGAACTTGTGCGACCCCAACACGTTCTTCACGGATGCAGCAATCTGATCCCCCAGCATCGCCCAGGGGATCGAGGACTTGGCAAGTTCATACCCTGCAGTCTCAATCGACAAGTGCGTCTTCACCTGCTCAACCTCCCCCTACAGAGCCATGATCATACTGTTTTGAATGCTATCCTTCTCAGCCAATTCCTTTTTCAACTTGGTGACTTGATCAGCCAGGTCGGCGGAGCACATTGCCCATTGCCCTAGACCGGACATGCACTACAACACAGACACCAGGTATCTATCACATACTGACCAAAAAAAAAATTTCCAATATTTTTTAGGGCGAGATTTCAAAACCTGGAGTATGGCATCTTTTGGCCCAACGGGCCTAGGGATCGTGCCCAACTGGGAGCAGACCACGTTTGGTGGATCCAGCTCCACCGTTGCCGCACTTGCGCCACCCACTTGCGACGCAGTTGTGTCAACAACAACACCAGACGTAGCGACCAGCGCCCCAAAAGCCGTGATTGCGGTTCGCACGGGAATCCGAGTCGTGCCTACCGGCGGCCGTGACCCTGTGGTCGCCGAGTTGTTCCTCTTGCCACCTTCTTCCTGCGATAGGCTGGGGACGGTTCCCGACCGACTTCCATCACCCCCCGACTTCCTTTTCTTCGACGCGGTAGCCCCTCCAATATTCTTTGCAGACAATGCTGCAGGTTTGGAGTACAGACTTTGACCCATTATTACAAGCTCTAACCTACAAAGGATAAGAACAAGACGCCAAGAGTCAGTACTAAATTCAGGAATACCTGCAGCATGCTCATAAATAATTTGCATGTTTTTCTCCACTTCTATATGTGGCAAGATGCGACCAAAGCTCTTGATCTTTTCAATATGGGACCCCGTCGTGGTATTGTGCTGAAAGTTGAACCATCTGGTGTAATTCTGGCGCGATCGCGCCATCTTGAAGAAGCAGCGGAACAAAAGCATATCCGCCTTCACACCCACTGTGTGGTAGATATGCAAGAACCCTAAGATAAAGGGGATCGCATTAGGCGCCCACTGAGCCAGGGGCATCCCATACGCCTGCATCAAAGCCTCCACAAAAGGGGGGGGGAATTTTAACCCAAGCTCCAAAAACTTAAGATACACTGTCATCTTCCCGGGAGGAGGAAGATGGGCACGGTCGCCTTGGTCGGGAGCAGCGGCTTTCAAACCCTTTAAGCCATACTTCTTCCGGATGCTCTTCACGTCGTCGGCGGTTAGTTCCGACGCAATCGCGGTCACCAGAATTAACCCCTTACCACGAGGTGCCATAAAAACAACAATAGGGTGTGCAAAGACAGAATCAAAGAAGGAAGGGGATAACCAAATGCTTCACTCACCAATAACAGGGACTCTACAAATAGCCAGAGTAGTCCTTAACTGCCGACAACTTTTCACAAAAAAAAAAGAGAGAGAAAAAAAAGAAGAAGGGCTTCAACTTTCCTTCCGCCTTCTTTTATAAGGGGGGGGGGGGGGAAGTTGGAGGAGTTGGAAGGGTAGGTTCCGGAAAGGCGCGCCCCGTTAATGCCACACGTCATTTCAAAAACCCCTTTTTGAGATCCATTGCAACCGTTCAAGACAAATGGGCGGGAGTTCACCGTGGCCGTCAGCTGCTGGGGCATCCCTCTGCCCGCTCAGGGTTATCAAAACTATGGACCGAACCGCGTCATCAGCAAGTCCAAGGCCCTGGTCCATTACTACTAGAGCCCAAAATCCTGACAGGCTGACATACTTTGGCTTCTAGCAGGGGTAATTGATGGGGCAACAAAGCCTTTGCTTCATTGGGCCTAACCCAAACAGGTCCAAGCACCAAATAATATCTACTTAAGTTCATTTCCACCTATGTGCAAGGGAATATTCCTATATTCCCTCCCTTGGGTATATAAAAGGGACATCCCAAGCATTAATTCCATATGTTATTCTCTCTCTCTCTCTATCATTTATTTGGTTCTCCTTCTGTCTCTAAAAAAGATTCTAACTTTAGCATCAGAGTGCTAATTCTATTTTGCAGGGTATTTTGAGCATTCTCAGTGCTGCTCAGTGGATCGACTCAGAAACGCACCATCAGTACATATTAATCCTCCAACATTCTTCTAGGTAAACACCTTGTTATTGAATAGAGGGCAAATTAAAAAAGGGTCGTGTAAAAGGGCGACAAGATATAGACCGCCGTAAAAAAGATAATTCTGACCTTTTCATTTGGTTATAGACCGCATGGTAAAAGATATAGACTGTCGGAAAAAATACCATTCCACCCTTTTTATTTTTTCAGTCCAAAATGACTGATTCAGAGGTAAGAAAAAAGATGATTGGACAAGCGGAATTTCAGGCCGAAATAGGCCAAACCGATAGAAATACTCTCTAGAATCACTACAAGAGAAAAGAGTTATAAAGACACTCAAAAGTGTCATCAAAACTAATTTATCATAACACTTCATCTAATGAGATGTTGATTGTAAATGTTTTCTATGCCAATGTGTTAATAAAGTGTAATTCCATAACGACACTTTAATATTTTTCATTAGAATAGGTATCACATTATGTCTTTGTCTTACGTCCTGTCTATTAGGACATTAAAAACGCCTCAATAGCTGTACCTTTTAATAAAAAACATATGATTTATTTTTTTTTTCATGATCAATGAACAAATAAAAATTAGTTTATCAAAAAATAACTATTTCATCCCATAACAATGAGTGCACTTCATTGCAACATCCTCCTAATTATAAACATGATAATACCGATTAAAAGTCTAAAACTACATGATACATTGGCTAATTTAATCAAATTTATAATGAAATTCAAATCCTGGAGATTAATAGAAAGCTCTAACGCTTGTTTTATCTTGTCTTTGGGTATGGAACTCTTTTTATGCTGTTTATCCTGGAGGCCGTCAAGAAACATGCATAGATTCTTGGGTTAAGGAAGCAAGAGTAATTTTGTTACAATCAGAGAGGAATACTATTGAAAGGAATAATAAATAATAAAAACCACACATGATTAAACGATAATAAAAGATATGCAAGCAGTCTTTCAGAAGCCTTCGATAATAGCTTCAAATTCTATGAAGTTGTCTTCAACGAGCAAATCATCATGGGAATCATCATCAGCGAGCAAATCATCAAGGGCACCATCGTGCTCTGGTTGGCCATAAAGTTTAATTTCATCAGCTGACGTACCTTTCCCCATACATGAATCAACCCGCAAATAAATAAAACTACAAGGCTCGGAGGGAGGTTGTTGTTTGGGGAAAAAGTATGCATAATGCATGCTAGTACAAAAGTCCAGGAGCATATATGTAAATGTCAAGATCAACGAAGTACATTATATATTGCTAAAGTGGATAGCAAGGCAAGACTATGATGTCTTTAAATTCGGTAATATGGCATTGGATAAGAGAAGGACTATGCATGACACCCTATAAGAGTAAACAGTGGCGGAACAAGGGGGAGGGGTGCGTCACACCTGCTCAATTTTTTATAGTTAGTAGAAATATCCTAAAATTTTAATAAACAACTATGTATTGTATAATTTTTCGCATCTGCTAAAAAATTTTTTACAAAGAAAAAATATAGCCCATTAATTATATTTTCAATCCTCTAAGAAAAATAAATATTATAAGTTATTGTTTTCTTAAATCAACTTCTATCATTTTCTAAACCATTTGGAGACTGAAATTAAAAGTAAATTAAAGAGTCCCTCACCTATTCAATAAAGAAAAAAAAAAAAGCCCATCCCAATATCCCATCATTTACCAAGTCTGTAAATCGTGATGCCAAAGCCCAATTATCCATCATCTCTCAAGTTCACAAATCACACGTACACAAGAAAAGAAACAAAAAGCCACTTAACTTTTCTAAATTTTCCATATTTTTTTCCCCATTATCCACTGAACTCCACGTCTCCGCGGAACTCCACCAAAATCCATTTCTAAACACTCCTTCTTGAAAATGGGAGCTCATCGGTGAAATACTCAAGCAAATTTGGAGAAGAAGAGTTGCAGGTTTAATATGTTTTCTTTGATTATCTTGTTCATTTAATTTCAGCATTACTTGTGATCATAGAATTGCCATTTTTATTAATTAGCAGTAAATTATTATCTTTTCCTTAATGTTGCAAATATCAATCAATTAATGCGTCAAAATTGAGCTAATGTTAACGTAGATCCTTTGAAGTTAGATCCTTTGAAGTAGATGAAGCCATGAAGGGCTTAGGGGTTTATTTTTTATTTTGAAAATGATACTTGTATATTAATTAGAAGTACCTAAATTATTACAAAGACATGGGCTTAAGGTTGTGAATAGTGACAGAGCAATTTTTGATGTTATTGAAATTTTTGCATCTTTCCACTCTACTCTATATACCATTCTTTTTGTGTCTTTCTCTTTGAATTCTGAATATTGTGAATGGTTGTTTAACGCATTTATATGATAATTTGCAATTTTTCACAATGGTGGACAAAAGTCACAAAACACTTTATTCTTATTTCCCAAAGAAAAACGTGAATTTTCAAAAAAAAAAAAAAAGAAAAAACGTGGAAACTAGCTCTAATCCTTGCAATTTGGAAAGCATCACTATAGAAGATACACATTTTCATGGAGCTACAACTGAAAAAAAAAATCCCGGTTGCTACAGCACAAAGTGATGGCAATGAACAATTACAGTTTCAGTGTGATCCAGGCTTCCGAAAGAAAATATGGGATTATCCTTCAAAGCAAAGGGATGAAGTTAGAAGATTTTATGTTGGAGTTGGGCAATGAACAACTTATGTATCGACGCCTACTAAGAATGCAGCATTTTGTCTTCCTAGCTCACTTTTTGTTAATCCTTCTACTCGATTTGGTTCAAGTGCATTTATTGTTGAAGGGTTTGATACTTGGAGGAAAGTAAATGATTGAAAACATTGTCCTCTTGCGAATCATGTTGGAAAGGATCCAAATTCCTTGCATAGGAGAGCCGTGTTAAATTGTATTGATTTCCAAAATTCATTGCAACTTTGGATACTATTGTGGATAAGCATACAACTGAACAAGTGGCAAAAAATTGCAACTTCGAGTTTCCATTAATACTGTCAAATTTTGTGCTTTTCAAGGTTCACCATTTAGGGCTCATGATGAAAGTGCAACTTCCATAAATCAAGGTAACTTCAAAAAAGCTATAAAACTTGTAGCTTGTTATAATAAGGATGTTGCTGATGTAGTTTTGGAAAATGCTCCTCGAAATGCAATATCTTTTTTTTTACCTGAGAAATTTATAGATAACAAGAAATATTTTTCAGGACAGTGCTTAAGACTTACCTTGTATAAGAGACCGTCAAAAAAACGGAGATTTAAATATCAGTAAATATAATGATACTTTCAAAAGCGACCTAATTGGACCTATATAAAATTTTGTCTAATGTCTGATATTTTTCGGACTTTTCAGAACTATTTTTCTAGTAACTCAATAAAGAAAAACTACAGGCAAATTTCCTGTCATCGTGATTCACTTCTTTCAGATCACAGATCTGAACAGCCGCGTTTAGTGGGCATATGGAGAATCCAAATCTATGAGTGATATAAAGGAAAATTGAACACTGTTAATTCCAAAAAAAGAGTCACTAAAATATAATTAATCATCGAAATGCAACATATTCCTCTCCTATGACTCAAAAAGATATTCTTTCTATCCATTCAAGAAGAGTTCAGAGTTTTATTCGTGAGGAAATTGGGGATGAATATTTTTCCGTACTTGTAGATGATGCTCGAGACATCAAAAAGAGAACAAATGGTCATTATATTAAGATTTGTCAATAAGGAGGGTTATATTCAAGAAAGGTTGTTTGATATAGTTCATGTACAAGATACTAGGTCAGTAACCTTGATGAATTTGATTTGTGATGTGTTTTCTCAGCATAATTTAAGCACCCATAACTTCATGGTCAAGGATACGATGGTGCAAGTAATATGCATGGTGAATTTAATGGTTTACAATAAAAATTTATGGAGCAATGCCCATATGCATATTATATCCATTGTTTTGCTCATCGGTTGCAATTAGCATTGGTTGCAACAGCTTCTGAAGTATTGCCAGTTAAACATTTCATTAATAAGTTGACTTCAGTCAAAAATTGTGTGAGTGCTTCTCGCAGAAGAGTTGATCAACTTAGAGCATCTAATGTTGCTAGAATTTTGGTAATAATTGCTTTTGATGACATTGAGACTGGTAGGGGAAAAAATCAGGTTTGTGTTTTGAAGCGTGCTAGAAGTACTTGATGGAGTTCTTATTTGGGA